ATATATTTTTATATAAAAATGTGCATGAAAAAATTGATGGACAGTGGATGATGAAAATGTTTCAGATATAAATGATGGTGATGGTAATACAACATCGTGAATGTACTTAATGCCACTAAATTGTACACTTAAAAATGGTTTGGGGCGGGGCGCCTGGGTGGCTCAGTCAGTTAGGCATCTGACTTCGGCTCAGATCATGATCTCGCAGTTCATGGGTTCAAGCCCCGCATCAGGTTCTGTGCTGACAGCTCAGAACCTGGAGCCCATTTCAGATTCTGTGTCTCCCTCTCTCTCTGCCTCTCCCCTGCTCATGCTCTGTCTCCCTTTGTCTCAAAAATAAATAAACATTTTTAAAAAGTTTTTAAAAAAATGGTTTGGAGCACCTGAGTGGCTCAGTTGGTTGAACGTCCAACTTCGGCTCAGGTCATGATCTCACGGTTCGTGGGTTTGAGCCCCACGTCAGGCTCTGTACTGAATGCTTGCTCAGAGCCTGGAGACTGTTTCGGATTCTGTGTCTCCTTCTCTCTCTGCCCCTTCCCAGTTCACGCTCCATCTCACTCTGTCTCTCAAAAATAAATTAAAAATGTAAAAAAAAAAAAATCAAAACCTGTCACTTTAAAAAATTAATGGGTGTAGGGGCACCTGGTGACTCAGTCGGTTAAGCATCCGACTTCGATTCAGGTCATGATCTCACGGTTTGTGGGCTCCAGCCCCGTATCGGGCTCTGTGCTGACAGCCAGCTCAGAGCTTGGAGCCTGTTTCAGATTCTGTGTCTCCCTCTCTCTCTGACCCTCCCCTGCTCATGCTGTCTCTCTCTCTCTCTCTCTCAGAAATAAATAAAACATTTTTTAAAAATTATTGGGTGTAAATACTCAAATGATAGCAGTGGCTATCTCTTGATGGTGAATCTGCAAATTAATTTTAATTATCTTCTTTTTTCAAAGGTTATATATTACTTTTATAATCAGGAAAAATATTTTTTAATCTCAAAGACATAGTTTTAAGTTTTTATTTTAATTCCAGTTAGTTAACATACAGTGTTATATTATTTTCAGATGTACAATATAGTGACCCGACAATTCCATGCATCACCTGGTGCTCATCACAACAAATATACTCCTTAATCCCCATCGACCTGTTCAACCCATCCCCCCACCCCCACCAACCTCCCCTCTGGTAACCATCAGTTTGTTCTCTGTAACTAAGAGTCTGTTTCTTGGTTTGTCTCTTCTTCCCTCTCATTTTTTCCCTTTGCTCATTTGTTTCTTAAATTCCACATATGTGTGAAACCATATGGTATTTGTCTTTCTCTATCTGACTTATTCCACTTTGCATTATTCTATCTAGCTCCATCCATGTCATTGCAAATGGCACGATTTCATTCTTTTTATGGCTGAATAATATTCCATTATACATGTATACATACATACATATACCACATCTTCTTTATCCATTCATCAATTGATGGACATGTGAGCTGCTTCCATATCTTGGCTATTGTAAATAATGCTCTTGTGTGAACATAAGGGTCCATGTGTCCTTTGAATGAGTGTTTTTGTATTCTTTGGGTAAATACCTAACAGTGCGATTGCTGAATTGTAGGGTAGTGCTATTTACCTTTTTGAGGAACCTCCATTTTGTTTTGATACCAGTTTGCATTCCCACTAACAATGAGAGAGAGTTTTTTATTTTCCATATCTCCACTAACGCTTGTTGTTTCTTGTATTGTTTTTAGCCACTCTTCACCGGTGTGAGGTGGTATTGTAGTTTCGATTTGCATTTCCCTGAAGGCAAGTGGTGATGAGCATCAGCCATCAAAGACAGTTTTAAAGAGTCACAGTGTTAGAAATAGTCAAACGATCCCATTTAACAGTTCAGGAAATATATATAACTCTAATCCACAGAGGTGGTTTAATCCTACAAGCAACTCTTTTTTTTTTTTTTTTTTTTTTTTTCCCTACAAGCAATTCTTGGGTAGCCCTTAAGGGACATGTATGTTGAAAATTACTCTCAAAGATGATGCTGGAGGGAGTCATACCTCAGAGTCAGTAAGTTCTTCGTTACTAGGAGTAGAGCCCCTGAGATTCAGATTCTTTTAGCATTTATTTAGCGCGTGCTGTGTGCTTATCACTATACTAAGTATATTTATCACATGTATCATTTCAGTTAACATGTTAGTTTATTCCTTCTCTTATCAAATACATATTGAGCATATACTTTGTGCTATGTGCTACTCTTGGAATAAGCAGTAAGACATTTTTCCATACTCATAAGGAACTTGCAAGCTAGTGAGAAAGCCAGACATAAAACAAATAACTATAGTACACTATGGAGAATGCTGTAAGAGACATAGTAAAACTGGAATTTAATTTTGATATACATAGATTTATCTAGTCATTGGGTTATTAATATATGACAGTGTTAACTAAAATAGCTTAATATTTGAAAATGTTCAGCTGAAACTAGTTGCTAATCAGAACACCAAAATTAGATAAATACCCTCATGCTAGCCAAAGAAAGAAAAGAAAGGAGAAAAGGTAAGAGTAACTGGTTTAACTCCTGTTACTCTGATTTTTGGATTATATTTCTTAGGTCTCCATTTCTGGTTTATCAGTATCCCCATATAAAAAACAAGAATATAGGACTATTTAACCAGTGCAACCCAAGCAACCATTCACTAAAGCCTTTTATGTATCAAATACTACACTGGGAACTTCACATATACTGTGTTTGTAATTCCCATCTTTTATTATACCCTTTAAGATAGGTGGTATTATCCAGTGCCTCAAGAAGGAAAATTACTTCAGAGTCAGAAGAAAAATAGCTTTCACTATACACTACAGAAATTCTTAATGGTTTTTTTTGAAAACCAGTATTAGAATCAACCAAATTATCCTGAATGACACAGAATTAGTTTCTTATCCATATTGGTGTCTGAACAAACTTTGTTTCTCTATTGGTTATTTTAAACACAATTTTTCTTCCACCCTGTTTTCCCCACCCACCCTCTATAGGTTACCATTTTTATGTTTCCTTTTATTTGTAGAAGTTTATTGATTTCCTTCAAAGAACCAGCTTACTTATTGGTTAACTATATATTTTTTCTAATATATTCCTGTATGCTTTAGCTCTATTAATTATTTCTTCTAAGCTTTTTCCCCCACTTATTTTATTAGGGTTTTTTCCCCTAGTTTTTTAGTCTGGTTATTCTTTTTTTTTTTTTTTTTAAACTAAGTTCTACACCCAACATGGGGCTTGAACTTAAAAACCCTGACATCAAGGGTTGCATGCCCTACTGACTGAGCCTATTTTTGTTCTTTCTTTTCTGATGATATAAGAATTTTAAGGCTCTGAATTTCCTCTGAGCACTGCTTTTTTTTTTTTTTTTTTTTTTTTTTTTTTTTTTTTTTTTTTTTTTTTTTTTTTTTTTTTTTTTTTTTTTTTTTTTTTTTTTTTTTTTTNTTTTTTTTTTTTTTTTTTTTTTTTTTTTTTGAGCACTGCTTTCTATGAATCCCATTAATTCCAACATGCTGGATTTCAACAATCATTGTTTTCTAGATATTCTGTCTTTTTTTGTAATTCCCCTTTTTATTTATAATTCAATTCTGTGCTCACAGTGTAGAGCCTGCTTAGGATTCTCTCTCTCTCTCTCTCTCTCTCTCTTCTCCCACCCCTCCCCAGCTTGTGCTCGCTCGCTCACTCTCACTCTCTCAAAATAAATAAACTTTAAAAAAAAATAAAAATTGCTGTTGAGGATTTAGAGAATCTAAATTTCAATTTTTCTCATTCATGTTACTTGATTATGATAGTCATAGATCAGTTGAAGGAATATTTTGTTTTTCTATTGATGACAAATTGGGAACATGGAAATGTCAAAGTAAACCAGGCAAGAATATAACTGTAAGGCTGAGCATGCTAAGACCAGGCTACTTATAAGGTGCCTCCCAGAGTACCATAGAGAAAAAGGTTTTAGTGAATTTCTGCCAAAGATTCCTATATCAAAGACCTTCTAATTTCCTTCCAATGGAGTATCATAAATATGAAACAATGCAATAATGTAGGTTGTGAACCAGGAAACCTGGTAAACTTAGCCCAACTCTAGCCATGAGATCTCAACAGTTTACTCCATCTATTTAAGTCTGTATTTTTACCTGTGAAATAAAGAATTTTGGCCATCTCTAGGTCCAAAAATTGGGACTTGGCCAAATCCCACAACACGTTAGTGACAAGGCTAAAACTAGGGCTGTGGTCTTCTGCCTCCAATAAAGCTGATACTTTAATTTCTTTTTATTCCATTCCACTTTGTTTTTATTGTAGTAAAATATATATAACAGAAATTTGCCTTTGAAATGATTTCGAAGTGTACAATTCAGTGGCATTAATTATATTCACAATGTTATATATATATATATATGTGAATATATATTCACAATGTTTTATATATATATATATATATAATTACATTCACAATGCAGCCATCACCACTATTTCCAAAGTTTTTCATCACCTCAAGTGAATCTTTCCAGTCCATTTTCTTATTCATATAATATCTAGTATTCTACAAACTCTTCAGACATCTTGACTTGGAACATGTATGCTTTTCAAATATATTACTTACTTGTATGTCTTTTGTAAATGCTTCTAATAGTCTTAATTCATAACCTACAAAGGAAGCAATTTGGGTATTTGATACCTATTTCCTCAATCACAAACCATTTGCCCTTTGGTAAAAAACAGATTACATTCTTTTCTATGTGGTTACCTATCAATTTAATAATACATGTCATTAAGGTGGGATTTCTTTAATTGCTTGTTGGGCTCATATTAAGAAAATGAAAAATACATGATTCTGTTGTTCAAGCATCAGGCTTGGTTAATAAAGAGCAATAATTTTTTGATGAGTTTCTAGAAAGCAGCAGCTTCTTCCTAGTCTCCCCCTGCCCTACTCTCCACAGTCCCCTCTGTTACACACTTTGACACTTGGTTTTTGCCCTCTTTAGGCCATTCGGCTCTCCTTAGAACAGGCCCTGCCTCCAGAGCCAAAGGAAGAAAATGCTGAACCTGTGAGCAAACTGCGGATCCGGACCCCCAGTGGCGAGTTCCTCGAGCGGCGGTTCCTGGCCAGCAATAAGCTCCAGATTGTCTTTGATTTTGTAGCTTCCAAAGGATTTCCATGGGACGAGTTCAAGTTACTGAGTACCTTTCCTAGGAGAGATGTAAGTTCACATGCCTATTTTAGGAAATACGTCCAGTGGGAGATACCCCATCATTAGGGCTGGACAGAGTAGTCCAAGAAAAATCCAATGGTACAAGATGACATGCTTTTGTTTCACACACCATTCTCTTCTCAGCGTTTGGAGCAGGTATGTCTTCCCAGGACGACAGACAGACCCAGGAGCCTATGTAAGAAATTAGGTACTAAATCTTTCTTCCTCCCTAGCTATTTCCCCTATTCAAGCATCTATATACAGACTTTCCCAAAATCTCATCTCTATGTACCTCAGAGTGGATCTGAGAATTGTGTGCTTAACAGCTTAATAGTTTGATCAGGATCAATGATTATAGGTTTACTAGAACAAGTCATGCTAAACCAAGAGTTTTCTGTGATTTGATAGTTTTTATTATCCTAGAAAGTCACAGAGGATGACTTATATTCATTGTCTTTCTATATTTCAGCAAGGTATTTGATAGTCTCTAATATATTCTGGGGCAAAATAGAGAGATGCAAATCTATAGTTAGGTAATCTCATTTCTGATTAAATGGTGGTGTCCAGAAGGTTATTGCCCACTCCCTAGAGTAGACCAAGAGGTTCTATATCCAATCCTTTATTACTCACCATGCTTTTAAGACTTTATCAGATTCATGGATTATGAAAAATGAGACTTAAAAATCCTTAAAATACTAAAACAATATATAAAAATGAACCTATAGAAATTTTACAGAAATATATAAAGATAGAGAGATCCCCACATTAGATTTAGAAAATTAATTACTCTTGTTTGGGATGGAAAGACCATGCGTGCGTTAGCAGAAGTTATGGTTGAATTGAGCTGAATAAGCATTAATGTGTTGTGGCTGCTAACAAAATGCTAGATGCATTTTTAGAGGTATAATCCCAACAAGAAGATAACTTAATGGTCCTAGTCATCTGTGTACAAGATAAACTCCCCCTGAAAGAGTCCTTAGACTCCATGCTGAAGCCTGAAGAAGAAAGAGCATGACTAGAGCAGGGCTGATAAGAAGATGAGGAAACTGGATATCCTATCATTTGAGGAACATTTCCTCTGGAGGTGTAAAGGCTATGGAAGACATGATTGTTGTCTTCAGCTACTTGAAGGGCTACCATGAAAAAGAGAGATCTTACTTTGCAAGGCACCAAGGACAGAACTGGGACCAGTGATTTCAAAGTTACAGGACACAAATTTGGCCCAATGTAAGGAAGTATTTTCTAAGAAGGGAATATCTTGGGTCATGAAGTAGGGGTTTTCCTGTCATTGGAGGTAACCATGCACTACTGAATGAATAATATCTTTTCGGCAATACTGGACATACTTGGGGAAGGATTCATTCCTGGTATTACTACTTTAACTGGGATAAGGCTTAGACTAGTTTACCCCTAAGATACATAGTAAATATTAATAGTCTGTGATTCCACTTTGATCTAATAATGTGAGGTCTAGTAACTTAGATTTCATCTAAAACAAAAAAACAAGAATTTAATTAAGGTTCATCTTAGTCCCTCATTGTGGCTGTCAGATTTACAGAGTAGAGACAGAAACCAGTGGTATAAGTTTAGCTCTACCACCCAGCCACAAAATCCCTAGGTGAGATGAGGATCCTACTACTTATATCTAAGCCAAGGACATTGGAATGGACCTCAGGTGCTAGCCATTGGTTCCTCTTTCACTAGTCCCACCCACTGCTCCAAGCTCTTCCTCTTTGTTATATATAACACACACAGACATGTTCCAGGGAACACATGCACGTACATGCTCTGTGGACTGCATGGCCAAGTAAAAAACTACTTTAGGGGCGCCTGGGTGGCTTAGTCGGTAAAGCGTCCAACTTTGGCTTAGGTCATGATCTCGCGGTTCGTGGGTTCGAGCCCCACGTCGGGCTCTGTGCTGACTGCCAGCTCAGAGCCTGGAGCCTATTTCAGAGTCTGTGTCTCCCTCTCTATCTGACCCTCCCCTGCTCACGCTGTCTCTCACTCTCTCTCCTAGAAATAAATAAAAATATTAAAAAAAAAACTACTTTAATTCCAACACTGAAGTTAAACTCTAAATGTGTGAACACTGAGGAAAGAGCCCCTATCAAGGGGTTCAAGATTAGCCTGGTTCTCGCACTTATGTTCTATGATGAACATCTCTCTTAAAGAACTTCTAAAACTTAGGAGCTAACTTAGTCCCTCCCAACTCTTGTTTTGTTTGTTTGTTTGTTTGTTTAAGTATAATTAACATGTAACCTTATATTAGTTTCAGGTGTACAACATAATGATTCAATATTTGTGAACATTGCAAAATGATAGCCACAGTAGGTCTAACTAATATCAATCATCACACATAGTTAGAATTTTTTTTTCTCCTTCTGATGAGAGCTTCTAAAATCCCAACCCTTGATTTTAAGGCAGTCCTGTTCTGGGCCTTTTATCTGAAAGTGAAAGTACTAGAAGAAAGAGTCTAAGGAGCTGCTGGCTTTTAAAATTAAAGTTGGGGGGGGGGGTTTCAAATTAATTTTTTAACTCAATTACTGGGAATAGGGTGGGGGAAACAATCTCTAAAAATTTTTTTAATGTTTTTTAATTTATTTTTGAGAGAGAAAGAGAGACATAGCAGGAGCAAGAGAGGGGCAGAGAGAGAGGGAGACCCAGAATCCAAAGCAGGCTCCAGGCTCTGAGCTGTCAGCACAGAGCCCAATGCAGGACTCAAACCCACAAACCATGAGATCATGGACCTGAGCTGAAATCAGACGCTTAACCAATTGAGCCACCCAGGCACCACCACCCCCCCTTTTTTTTTTATGTTTTTTTTATTTATTTTTGAGAGAGAGGGGAATAGTCTCTAAAAAAGTTGAGTTTTATGGACAGTATTAATGACCATAAGGTAGAAACATAGACTGCACAGAGTTGCTGTTGTAAATAAGCAAGGGAACTGTGAAGTGAAATGCAGAGGTTTTCAAGCCTGCTACCTACCCGCCTTGAGCTCTACTGACCGAACACTCACCCTTTTCAGTGCAGACTGTGTTAACTATGGATTTGCCCTAAATCAAGTGTCAGTCATCTAGTTGTAGAGAAAATTTATTTTTTAATGTTTTATTTATTTTGAAAGAGAGGAAGAGAGAGTACAAGGGTAGGGACAGAGAGAGAGAAAGAGAATCCCAAGTAAGCTCCATGCCCAGTGCGGAGCTCGACCCAACACAGGGCTCAGTCTCACAACTGTGAGATAATGACCTGAGCCGAAATTAAGACTCGGACGCTCAACCAACTGAGCCACCCAGGCGCCCTGAGAAAATTTGTTCATGATTTAAATCTCAACCATTCACTCTTTACACTGCTAAAGAATGCTATTCAGTCTTGTTAACAGACTCTTCTCCCAGTGTTCCTTTCACACCTAACCTCATTTCTACCTCAAACCTTATCCCAAGACCAGTTTAGATCAAGTTGGGCCCAGTTCCTGAGAGGAAAAGTTTAACCAAAGGCTTGCTTCTATAAGAGGATTTTTCTAAAACTCTATTCTAATCATTCCCTTTCTTGTTACAAAACAAACAAAACTCCTTAATAGCTCCTATGGCCCCAGGATAAGGATAGACCCCTTAGAATGATTTCAGAAACTCTCCACAATTTGATCCATACCTACCTTTCCCACCTTAATCTTTGCCTCTCATTACTTATTTCCATCACCAGGAGATGAGATTGCTTACTATTCACAAAAGACATGAGACTCATGACTCTGTGCTTCTGTGTGCTTCTGTATACTCTGTTCTCTCTTCCTTGAATATCCACCCTCCCCACTTTTCCTGGCTTGTTTGACCTCATCTTTTAATGCCCAGTTCAAATGTCATTCCCTCTCAGAAACCCTCCCCTTCTCCCAAACTCCTCAACTATGTACCCATTGCAGTTTGTACTTTCCTCTCTCATAGCACTTTTTCTGTTGCTCTATAATTTTTTTTACAAAGGCTGTCCATATCATGTTCATGTCTGTCTCCCCTGAAGTTCCCATAATGGTACCTCACACATAAGCATTTAGTTGCCGTTGTCAAATGTTAATGATCTCCAGTCTGATCCTAAATCTCTCATTCCAGAGTGAACTAGAGAAGCTGTTCCAAATAAGAACAGATGCCATAGGCCCACCCAGATTCCAGACCCAGACCTAAACCCAGAAAGCCCACCCAGGACTCACTAGACCTCCTAGAGTCAGGGGTAGGGTGAGAGTTAATGGCCCTTCATCCTTTTCTAAATGCTCTTTCAAGTCAAATGACTAGTGTTTTTGCAAGGCTATTCTGTAACAGCCATCTGTGTCTGCAAGGATTAGGATTTAATTTGTAAAAGTCATCTTAAATTACAACCAAACTAAAGACTGTTAAAAAACACATCTTAAGACCTCACCTCCTTAATAACAAATAACATAAGACTTAACGCTTGGCATCTTATTGTGTCTTCAGCCTTTTCCCCACAAAGTAGAGACTGATTTCTCATCATAGGACCTGGTAAACGTTCTTCTGTGCCCCCACCCTCCAATCAAAACCATACTTCGTGTTAAGATTTCCCAGCTGTCCAACTATTTACTAAATGTCTGGTGGGTATACCACTGAATTGAGCACTGTGGGACAAGCTCAATAGCAGCAGACACAGGCCTTTCCCAGAAAAGCTGATTGTCAAGGTTCTGGGAACACTGAGTTATTTAATTTTTGTTGTTATTTTGCTTTCTGTTTTGCTCATAACAGTTACCAAGAGTAGTGTTCACTACCAGAGCTTTGGTCATTAAGCTGTACCTGTTGGATGTGTTAGAGCCATGTGAACATCAGTGGCCCATTTGCTTACTTGGGCATTGCAAGGTAGTTGGTAGTGATGTAGTTGAGTCCTAAAGTTAAGGAATGATCCTAACCCCTACGACTACTTCTGCTGCTTCAGTCAGTAAGGGGCCCCTGGCAGCTTTCCACTTCCCCTCTGGACCTACTGGGCACTGGCCCAGTGCCACTCAGTGTAAGGTTGTCAGT